TGCTGCAGAATGTGGTCTGGCATTATCGTGTTGAAAAATGCAGGGTCTTCCCTGAAAGAGATGACGTCTAGATGGGAGCATATGTTGTTCTAGAACCTGAACATAGTTCTCTGCATTAATGGTGCCTTTCCAGACATGCAAGCTGCCCATGCCACAAGCGCTCATGCAACCCCATACCATCAGTGATGCAGGCTTCTGAACGGAGCGTTGATAACAACTTGGGCTATCCTTGTCCTCTCTGGTCCGGATGACATGGCGTCCCGGTGTTCCATAAAGAACTTCAAATCGTGACTCATCTGACCACAGAACAGTCTTCCATTTTGCCACACTCCATTTTAAATGACCCCTGGCCCAGTGCAAACGTCTGAGCTTGTGGAGCTTGCTTAGAAATGGCTTCCTCTTTGCACTGTAGAGTTTCAGCTGGCAACTGCGGATGGCACGGTGGATTGTGTTCACTGACAATGCTTTCTGGAAGTATTCGTGAACCATTCTGTTATTTCCTTGACAGTGGCATTCCTGTTTGAGGTGCAGTGACGTTTAAGGGCCCGGAGAACACGAGCATCCAGTAGAGTTTTACGGCCTTGACCCTTACGCACAGCGATTGTTCCAGATTCTCTGAATCTTTTGATGATGATATGCACGGTTGATGATGATAACTTAAAAGTCTTTGCTATTTTACGCTGGGTAACACCATTCTGGTATTGCTGCACTATCTTTCTGTGCAACAATGGTAGAATTGGTGATCCTCTTACCATCTTGGCTTCTGAGAGACACTGACACTCTGAGAAGCTCTTTTTATACCCAATCATGTTGTCAATTGACCTAATTAGTGTTGATTGGTCTTCCAGCTGCTCGTTATGTGGTCAATTTCCTTTTTCCAGCCACTTATTGCTACTTGTCCCAACTTTTTTGGGATTTGTTGACACTGTGAAATTTTGAATCAACATATTTTCCTTTAAAATTTTACATTTTCTCAGATTTTTGATCTGTCATCTATGTTATATTACAAATAAAATTTTGACATTTGCCATCTCCACATCATTGCATTCAGTTTTTATTCACAATTTATTTAGTGTCCCAACTTTTTTTGAATCCTGAGACAACTTTGTTGTAATTGGCTTTATATAAATAAACTGAACTGAATTCAGTTGAAGTTAATATAATGAATCTTACAAATTCTGTTTGTCAACTAGCCACTAGCAGTCACAGCCCACTGAGATAGTATCTTAATACCATCCAGGTGCTGCTATTTAATTGTATTTAATTTAGTGAAGGGCAGCACGGTGGCACAACTGGTAGAGCTGCTGCCTCTCAGCGAGCAGGTCTCTGGTTCAAATCCCGGTCCAGGGGCCTTTCTGGGTGGAGTTTGCATGTTCTCTCCGTGCATGCGTGGGTTTTCTCCGGGTGCTCCGGTTTCCTCCCACAGACCAAAAACATGCATGTTAGGCTGATTGGTAACTCTAAATTGTCCCTAGGTGTGAGTGAGAGAGTGAATGGTTGTTTGTCTCGTTTGTCTCTATGTGTCCCTGTGATGGACTGGAGACCTGTCCAGGGTGTCCCCTGCCCCTCGCACAGTGATTGCTGGACATGGGCACCGGCGACCCCCGTGACCCAAAATGGAAGGAGCGGGTAAAGAAAATGGATGGATGGATTGATAATTTGTTGAAAGTGCTTTTAAAGCGCTTTCATAAAAATCTGTCACTTTGCTGCTATGGGTCATTCAGATGTGTAGTTAATTAAAATTGAGGACCAACATTGGCAATTATTTCTGCTTATATATTGATCAGGGAATATTTTCAAGTTAATTTCCAAACAATTTTTTTAAATACTAATTTAAAGTGGAAATCATTCTTGCTAGTTCTTCAAGGATTAGATCTCCCAGCAATGTCACCCTGATTTTAGGCTGTGCAGTGCTCAAAGGAATGATGAAATGCATTACAGCTCCATTTCATGCACCACAGGCTTCAGTTAGATTAATAACTGTTAGAAGAGACATACGAAAAAGCCTGCTTTTCTGCTCATGACAGTGGTTGAGTCTCTGAAGCGCATTTCAACTCAAAAACCAATGTAATACAAAGCTAGAAGAGCACATGCCATATATCTAGCTTCTTGATGAAACGATGGGTACTTGTTTTGTGAAAACACTCTAGTTGCAGAAGAAATTAATTCCTTCTTTCTGTTTCTGTTGCAGAACAACAACAATTTGGATGCCTGCTGTGAATACTTGGCCCAGGTGAGCCCGGGCTACCTTTACAGTGAAGAAGGGACACTCAATTTTCCTGAAGACCCCAGCTTCACCAGGCTTTGTAATCACATGACCCAGCTGAACTTGGGCTTGCAGTCGCAGAATGTGCATGTGGCCCCGATTCGGGACAGCCCGAGAATGAATGGCAGTCGAACTTTGGCCCACAGCATGAGTGACGGGCCCCTCCTGACAAGCCAGGCCCCCAACAGTGACTTTTTCCAGCAGGAGCCTGAGTCCGCCACAGTGCAGGTTCCCTCGTCTCTCAATGTTTTTGGTGTTATGGAGCGTCAGCAACAGCCTGCGCAGCACCACAGACTCTGCCCTCTGGGTGTAAAAGGAGCAACGATGAGTCCTCAGCACACGCCTCGTTTCCAACCTTTCACAGTGACCCTAGCATCTAATCTTCAGACAGGCCGCAATACGCCTGCTTCTTTGCACATACATGGCGGGCCGCAGTCTGGCCTGAGCAGTACACAGGGTAATGCCATCTTCATTCGCCAGCCCGGTGCAGCCCGGCAGAGCCAGCAGCAGGGAGGCAGAACTCAGGGCAGCCCTATTTCCCAGCAACAGACTTCTCATGTCTACATGCCAATCTGTTCCCCAACAAATCCCCAGGCACCCTCCAGCTTTCCCACCGGAAGCCAGGCATCTTCCAGTGGTGTCTCCTCATGCTCTTCTTCTTCCTCTTCTGTCATGCCCACCTCCCTGTCCAACATCAGCCAGTACAACATCCAGAACATCTCCACTGGGCCTCGCAAGAATCAGATAGAGATCAAACTTGAATCTCCTCAAAGAAGCAATTCTACCACAGCTGTGCTGCGGACGAGCAGTGGGCCTCGTTCATCCTCCACCTCCTCTACCTGTCCCTCGTCTTCCTCCTCTTCAGCCGGAGTGGCTTCTGTCCCCACCACCTCTCGTTCCTTCGGAGGTTCCAGGTGCAGCCAGCCTACTGTTTTCATCTCTGCCAGTTCACCTACAGCTGCTAACACTCCCTCTGAGGAGGCCATCATGGCCTCAACTGGCTCCCGCTCCCAACCCAAGTTTTACATTTCTGCTAATGCCTCCAGTGACGATAGTGGGGCAAGGAACCCTCCTACAGTCTACATCTCAGCAAACACCCCCTTGCAGGGACCCTCGGGAGCAAGAAACATGGGGGGCAAAATGAGCATGGGCCCTGCCTACATCCACCACCATCCACCTAAGTCCCGCTCTTCTGTGGGAGGTGGAGGCACAGCTTCATCACCTCGTGTAGTGGTGACTCAGCCCAACACCAAATACACATTTAAAATCACAGTGTCTCCTAATAAACCACCAGCTGTGTCCCCTGGAGTTGTGTCCCCCACTTTTGAGCCCAACAACCTTCTCAGCCTACCTTCAGATCACCATTTTGGGGAGCCGGAGCCCCTGCATCTTTCAGATCCACTGTCACCACACAGCGAGGCGCCAAGTGAGCCTCGCAGACTCAGCGTGGGCTCTGATGATGCGGCGTACACACAAGGTGAGCGTTGCTGACTTTTTGCCACCAACATTGTCATTTTGCTTTGATTTTTGATTTGCTTTTGGTCCCGCTGTAGAGTGTTGACTTGGCTGTTTTAGTTTACTTTCTACTTAAGATGATCAACTGTGGCACCAAAGGGTTCAACATGAGGCGATATCTTACTGTGTTTAGAGTAGTTGGTAAAAAAAATGTAAAGTATTGCAAAACGTGCAAGTTTTCAGATGCCATTTTACTGAATTCTGAGTGTTTGTCAGCAGTGAGCTTTGTGGCTGTATTCTAGGTTGTGCATATTATTTTACTGCCCAGCTTTGCCTGCATAGTTCCTTTGTGGCCACCACATATATGATTCAGTCTACATACAGAGATGAAATGATGACAAGCAGCTTACACCAGTCTATTTATTTACTTTTATCAGCTTGGTTTTTAGACCTGGACTTGTTTTCATGCAACTGTCAGAATACAGTTATAGGCTGGAATTGTGGCTACAACTCTGTTACTATTTTGAGATAGAATTTGTCACAAATTTATTACAAATATTTCAAATTGAACTGATAAGAATGCATGCCTCAATCAATCAAGGAAATTGAGAACCCCTACAAACATTTCAAGACATTCTGGAGACCCCCTCAGATGTTGTATGCTCATTACCAGTGAGGTAGTACCGTATTTTCCGCCAGACACATCGCTCCGCCCTATAAGTCTCATCAGTCCATATTTGTCTAATAAAGTGAAAAAATCCATTAATATGTCGCTTCGCCGTATACGTCGCATCTATTATGCATCACCGCTGACGTGTAACAAACGTAACACGTCACGTGTTACGTTTGTTACACGTCTGATATATCTTAATGGTGTGTATAATCTTTATAATCTTTAATATATCTTAAAGTTAGCGTTACATGGACTCTAGTTTATTTCACCACGATGCACGTATTAAGCTGCAGTAACGCTAACAAACGTAAATTTACCAGCTGAAACTCAGACACAGCTCCGTCCTCTGAGTTCTTTGATGAAGATGAGTCCGGTCGTGGAGATGATGAATCAGGACGTTCAATACTCACAGACTGACATTAACGCTGAGAGGAGGGAGGGAGGCTGCTGTCCTTCTCTCTTCTTGCAGAAAAACACGGAGCAACTTTCTGCTCATAAGCAGAAAGTTGCGTGTTGTCGAACGGCTTCGACAACACGCGCTGCACACGTGAACCCCGTCTGTGGGCGTAACCAGCACCATAGACATACAAGCTGTAGGGCAGCTCTATACAGCTCTGGATGTAGTCTGTTTGTCATATGTCTGGTGTTTTACCTGCCTGCGTGCTGAAACCACGTGACACATTACAGCCAATACCGAAACTTGACACCGAAAAGAGAGTGACGTTTCAATACATATACCGACCAAAGCAGTTTGGTCGGTGCTAGAAAATAACCTCGGTTCGGTATACAGCCCTATGCTGCACACTACGATGCTGCAAGCTACATGCTACAATGCTACATGCCACGATGCTGCACGCCACAATGCTGCACGCTACGTTGCTGCATGCTACATGCTACGATGCTGCATTCCATGATGCTGCACGCCACGTTGCTGCACGCTACGTTGTTGCATGCTACGATGTTGCATGCTACGATGTTGCATGCTACGATGCTACACGCCATGATTCTGCACGCTACATGCTACGATGCAACATGCCACGATGCTGCACGCTACGTTGCTGCACGCTACGTTGCTGCACGCTACGTTGCTGCACGCTACGTTG